AAAAAGGCCATTTCAAACTAATAATTAGTTTAACGTTCTTTCCAGCTGAAAAATTTGAGGGGGGAAGGGAATAATTTAAACAAATATAATATTTAAACATATCAAAATTTCTGGAAGTTTTCAGTAAAATCAGAAATATTCAATATACCCAATTTCTTTTTTTCAGAAAAGAAAGGAAGTACTTTAAACATATATAAACATATGGGTGCTTTGCAGTAGAAAGGTACAAAACTATTAAAAAAATAAAAAATGAGTTAATATAGCATTTAAAATATTTTTGCCATATAAAGGAAAATTTGAATTTTTTCAGTGGTTTCGTTCTTTTTTACTGGAAAGCACCCATATATATTTAAATTATTTTAAAATTTAAATATCCTAATTATAAAAATACTGATAATAATATTAATTATATTAAAGATAAAGCAATAAAATAATATTTTAATATTTTTCCTAAAAAAGCTAAAGAATTCTTATTAGCAAATTCAATTAAAAATAAAGATTTAGTTTATCAAAATCTTTATCCTATAGAATTCTTAAACACTTTAACAATTAAAACTCCTTCCTACAAATTGATTTTAAAGTTAGTACTATACCTATCATACTTTTAAGAAATATTAGTTCAATAGAAGAACTTTATAATAGCAAACTAATAGTTAATAAATTTCAACATGTAATAGATGCAGAAATAGAGGTCTGCAAATGGAACCCAGAACCCAGAAACCTAACTGGCTCAGACCTGAATCCAGGTTTAAGCTGACAAACTTTCTTTAAAATTCACTTGGGTTGGGTTCAGGCTGGCACATGATTTTTAATTAAACCCAGATTTTCGTAATTCTGGCCAAAATCTTTTTAATTCTGGCCGAAATTAAATTGAGTCAAAATTAAGTTATCCGATTTTTTTTGTTTTTTACAACAAATGTTATAATAATAATCTAGGTCCAGTCCAGGCTGGGTTTTTAATATAAATTTGGACTGGACTGGGCCGACACTTTAGGTCAATTTTCAAGTGTGGGCCAGACTGGATTAGGTCAATACAAATCTCTATACAGAAATTTTAATAAATCATATATATATTTATCATTTTAATTAATACATTATTAATTTTCAGTTTACTTAGCCTTTACAATAATAATAATCAATAAAATTCAAAAACAAATAATAACATATATAGGATTAATCCTGTATTTGCTTATGGCAATTATATGTAGTATTATTAAGGATTCAATTATAAAATAATATTAAACTTTTAGTAAAAAAATATTAATAGATGAAATATATATATAAAAAATATTGTATATAATAAAATTTTTTAATATATTATATATATAATTTAAAAATTCTTTACATTTATAAAAATTTTTACTTCAAATCACCAGAATGATCATTACTATTAGCCAAAATTATTAATTTTTACCGGCACTATATTTTTTTAATAATACCAGTCAATCATCATAATTTCAGTTACCAGTAATCATCACCCCAGTTAAAAAAATTCTTTATAAAAATAAAAAGTAATTTATTTTATATATTTGATATAATTCATATATAAAATATTATTTGGGTTACTTTTAGTATAATTTATTATGCAAAATATTATCTGAACTGCAAAGCAGTTCAGATGATATTTTGCATAATAAATTATACTAACAAAATTAATTTTACTAATTATATTAGTAGGAGATTTAGGATCAATATTAGTTAAGTTTAGGGAAAGTAAGTAAAGTTGATTATTAGGATTAGAATTTTAGTATAATGATTAGAATTAAATTGTTTAAAAATTGATTATAATATTAAATTATAATAGTAAATTAATAATATTAATCTTATATAAGTTTGAATTTAAAAATAATTATTCTTACAATTTATTTTCTAATTTAACCTCTTATAAACCAAACCTGAAAATTTCATCAACGTTGACGAACCCGGGGCAACGCCCGGGCCTACGGGCTAGTTATATAAAATATTGGGAGAAACCTTAGGATGTTATTCTTTACCCCTTTTGGTGCAAATATATAGGATATTTCGTCAACCTGTTAACATGTTAATGTGTTTTGCCAAGAAAAATTTTTTATTAATACATGCAAAAATAAATACAAATTTCAGGACTGCGCAACGTCTATGCTAATGTATTCGATTATTTTTTTTAAATTATTATTTCTTCTACACGGCGCTTCTTAGTTGCGGGTTCCTCACTATCCATTACTCTATCCTTTAATAAACCTACTATGACCTCTAAAACTTTCTTCATATCTTACGCAATTCTGTATCATCTTTTGAGAGCATCTTCTGTAAGTGAAATTCGATACTCAGTCCTGCTCGTACAGTAAATGCCCTCGGTACTATGAAGGATGAAGTACCAATCAGTTCCAGTACTGACTATGCCATAGACGTAATTCGGTATCAAATGCCTCATCAGCCTTTCGTTTTTTCTTAGTTCATCTGAAAAAACAAGCAAAGTAAGTTAGCAATACCGAATAATTAACTATAACGAAAAAAATGATGATACTTACATCACACGCACTTCGACATTGTACTAAGTTCTGGCAAATACCTATAGTTGACTGATTTTGCTTCCCCTCGGTTATGCAAATTATTTCCTCCAACATCTCACTGATAATTCTCTTGATTGCGTAGTCAACACGGCCGGTGTTTTCTTCACCAATTATGTTCGCCTGAGGGGTGATTACCAAATCATTGAGAATACTTACAGCCGTGTGTAAGATTGTAGAAATGTACTCGCGCCGCATAGCTTCATTACTATATACAACTGGGCTCATATTTTTTATCCTGCGGAGAATATCATCAATGCATAGCTTAAATTCGGGGGCGCTTTCGTTAATTGAGTGGGTGGCTGTAATACTGATATGTGAGTTTGAAATATTTTAATAAAGAACCATTTGACAGGAGATTGCTTACGTGGAATGAACTGTGGATTGCGAGTTATATCCCCGCTAACGAACTCATACTTGCTCAACACCTCACTCAAGTCTTTCTTAGTCTTGAACGACCTCAACTTCTTTTCCAGACCGAGAATAATATCAAGAGTCAACAGCTATAGTTTAAAAAAGTTGTAAAAACAAGAGTACGTTGATAACTACAAGCATACAGTTTAAAAAGCTCATTGTTATACTAAAAATTCAAAAAACCAACGTTAAAAGCTTAATAAATTCTTTTTCTTCACGCAAAATTCATATTTTCTTTCATACTTTTAAAAGGATTTTCACGTAAAAAAGTATAAACTATTAAATCACATGATGATCTACCAAATTACTTTAATTAGAATTAACAAATTTATTATAATAAAAAATATTATATGGGATTGCGTCAGGAGATAAAAAAGAAAAAAGAAAAAAGAATTTGGAGCAAGACTAAGAAAAAAAAAGTATTGAAAAAAAAAAATAAAGATACATTATCGAAATTGAAGTTTTGAAAACAATATCTAGAACTCAGATCACACTGCCATTAAAAGAGATTTTGAATTTATCTTTCTTTTCGGCCTGAACAACAAACATTCTCGCTAACCTATTACCTTGTAATGATAGATATGCTACTTGTATTGCGGCTAACCGTCTGGAAATTGTTAGAATTTTCGCGATCAGTTATTAAAAAGACAGCGTCGGACGCTATATTATTAGCGTTATAATGGACCACGGAATTATTTACTTGAATCACTAATCAAAAGGATAAAGTCAGATGATACAGTACAAAAAAAAACAGTATAATATTTTCAAACATACATTGAGTAATATTATTTTTCTGATTTCGCGTGACATTATCCTGATGAGTAAAAGAGGATCCATCTAACTAACCCAAGGGTTTCATTTTGGGTCTCTTCTTTAAATATCTTCAAATCTGGCATTTCTTTACTGAATAAATTCTTAGAATACAATTGATGAGAATAAAAATACATACGTATATATATAAAATTGGTTCGGAAGGCAGGCTACATAAAAAAAAAAAATTAAACTTTCGACTACATTCAGATTGATAAATAATTTTTTTTTTAAATAGTAACAAATCTATAATCCTAGCCTTTTTATTTACAACGTGAATTAAGCTATCGAATTACTATTAAAAAAAAGGGTTATTTTTAAATATTATCACATTAAATCTTTAATTTTTTTTATAATAGACGCGTTTTTTGTACAGAAATATCTCAGTATTATTTTATTATTTTAACCAAAATATTATGGCTTTTGTATTTTAGTTTAAAGTTCTGTAAAAATTTTTATTGTTTATTAAAACTTTTTAATAAAATATANTACTATTAAAAAAAAGGGTTATTTTTAAATATTATCACATTAAATCTTTAATTTTTTTTATAATAGACGCGTTTTTTGTACAGAAATATCTCAGTAAAAATTTTTATTGTTTATTAAAACTTTTTAATAAAATATATATAAAACATTTTATTTAATTTGAATGCAATGTTAAAATATTAAAAATATTAAAATTTTGGTTCTTGTTATATTTGAAATTAAAATATTTTGAAGTTCTTTCTCTTAGATTTTTTCGCGTGAAACGGCAAAAAATATTTTCTATTTAAAAAAAAAGGGGGTACAGGATAATATTTTATTAAATTCCAAGAGCGATTTACGAAATCAATTTTTTGTTGCATCGTAAGGAATTAATAAAGAAAATGTACTTTAATATGTATTCCAAATTAATTTTATTTTATTTTTTTTTAATCAGTTGTAAAAAATAATAGTGTTTAGTGAAATTAATAATGTACATAAATAATAAATAGAACCTAAATATTTATACTGGCAGTTAAAAAATTAATTTTTTCTTGGTAATAAGATTTGTTTTGTTATTTTCAAAATTTTTCTCACTATGAACATTAAATAAGTTTAGCGAAAACGTGAAAGACTAAACCGTAATTCGACATGGTTTCACTACACATTTAGTGTAACTTTCACCGGGTATCAATTAACAAATATAAATGCACTTTCCCTGTAAAAGATTTTTCTTTAAACTTCTAAAAAATAAAAAAAGTTTTTCTTAAATTAAACTTTCTAAAGTAAAAATAAAAAAAAAATTTTTCTTAAATTAATATGAGTAAGTGGATTTTGGAAAATAATAATGATATTAATAGATTTAATGTTATTTTCCACGTTCATTTGCCAGAGGGTATTGAAAAAAATGGTTACCCTATAGTTCTTGGCGATGGAAAAGAATTAGGATCATGGGAAACCCCTATTGTAAAACTTCACCAACCATTTTCTCAGAATTCAACATATTGGCGATCTGATCCAGTTATTATTTCGTTATCAAATGTCAACGAAAATAAAGTTATTCAGTATAAATACGCTATTCATATAAAAAGGTATCATCATAAACTTCGCGGGACAATTGCGTTTGAAGGAAATAGCATTCAAGACAATCGCATGTTGGATATTGAGAGGAATGATCAATTTGACATATGGAAAAATAATTATAGTTTCTCCGAAAAATATCACATAAATAATAATAATATACGCGACTTTGCCTTTGTGGATTATATTTATAATACTATCAAAGAAAATAACCTTAAAGAGAAAGTTTTGGAATATCAATATCTGTTAACTCATCACAAGGAACTTACGATACGCGCGTTAACTTTCAAATTCATTATAAATCGTGTCGATATTAGATCAAGAGAAAAACGACTTTTCTTATGTCTCCTTTTAGGTTATTTTATTTCAATGCAAGGCGAGTTTTATGAGTTGCCAGATCAATTTCCATCTGCATCATTGCTCAAGGCGCTACATGGATATAAATTAGAAGATTTACCTTCAGACGCCAAAGGCCATATGTATACTGCTATTACGTTTTTAGTCCAGAATAATGCCTTTCAGATGAAATTTGATTGGCTCATTATTTTTACAATTGCTTCTGAAGTCGATCCTAATTATGATTTCATTGAACGCTTAAGAGCTCTAAAATATTCTAATGAAAATTATTTAGCGAATTTTATTAAAAAAGCTGAAATGATTATTAGACCTAATATTCATAGTAATGAATTTGAAACTTACGTTAAACTTGCCAAGGTAAGATTTAAATATTTTTGTGTATTAATTTCGAAATTTTATGAAAATGGTTAATAATTTTTTTTTTTTTAGTGGTTGATTCAATTATGTCATAATATGGATTCTCTTTTTAAACTTTGGGATGATGTTCTTTTACATAATAATAAATTTGATGAAAGAGTTTCTAAATGTTTTACCGAACGAGTTCGAGCGAATATTTCTCATGCTGATGCTGTAGCTTTGGAATACCTCTTTAAAAGACTTCCAAAAGATTATCGAGACCGTGTCTCTGAAATTTTCCGAGATCAAGTTATATTTTTACTTGAAAGTCCAAATAGAAAGTGGACATACGAAAACATCAATTCTATTAAAAAGTTACTTCATGACAATTGTCTGAATTGGCGCAGAGACGATGTAATCCTATCATTAGAGTTAATATCTCAGTCACATACTTTAGAATTATTAAATATATTTTCAGAAATTTTGGATGATTGGTTCCATAGTGATTTTTCAGATACCAAAGAGAAAAAGATACCAAAAATTTGTGTAATGTGGTTTAAAAATCTTTTACTCAAACTTGATACAAACACAAGCAATAAAAAATTATCAAATGAAAGCAATTTTATTTTTTCGGTATTTCAACAATTAGAACTTATGTATCCTTTGCTTGGTCAAAGGATTAATATTTGGCGAGATTTAACAGCAATTGCCATAGATAGGGTGAAGAATTACTCAGAAGACCGAATCTTTACTGCAACAAAATTAATAGTACAAATAAAGCAAGATAATGTTAAAGTATTATTTTTAGAGATGGTAAAAGACATGTTAAATAAGTCTACTCTACAAACTCACGATCAGTTGTTAAACAAGATACGCATTATTTGCGATTGCAAAACAACCAAGATTCTGGACGTTCCAAACATGTAAGTTTTTTTTTGTAATAATTTTTTGTCTCTTAAAATGCTAATGCTTGAATATTTTTTTTTTTATTGTTATTAATAAATCGTTAGGATAAGCGAAGATATTTTGTATCATATTATGACTAGATTACAAAGCCAATCGACTTCTTTCAGCGCTTCAGAACATCATTTGAGTATTTTAAAAGCTAGTAACTTTTGGAATATTATATTACGCGCTACTGGAAACGTTGCAAAACTAAACTCAAACCCATTTGTTAAAAATACTAAAATCTCTATTAACGAACTTGCTGGATTACTTCTTGAAAAAGCGATAGATATCCAATTATTACAACAAATTTTAGAATATGATGACGAATATCTATTTCAACATTTTGATGCGGCTGTTGCTAAGAAAGTATTGGGAGATGTAATCGTTTCTCGAGATGAAATTGCAAAACTTAGAAGGATATATAATGATCATCAAATTCAACTCGATGTACTATCCAAGTTTTATAGCAGATTTTGTCCATCCGAGAAAGTAATAGATGTAGCTGATTATATTCGAGATGTAAAACAGAATCTGCAATGTTTAGATAAAATAAAGGTGAAACAAGTATTCTCATCAGATCATTGGGCATTTCATGAGAAAACTTTGGACAGTGCAAGACGTTGCTACAAATTTAGTCGATCTCAATCTTTTCGAAATATCTTTGAAGCTTGTATCCGGAATGATACTGCTGCAACAAAAGTAGAATATATAGCACAAACATTAATACCGATTGTGTTTGAAAAGTATAGTGTTATGTGTAAACAACTCGAAGAATGGAAAAAGCTCAAATGTTCGGATGCGTTTTTATTTTGGAAAAATGTTAAAAATATCAATGCAGAACTCGATTTAGTGGAAGGCTGTGAGAAATATAGAAGTCAAGAATTTATACAAACCCTTGAACGACTTCCAAACTGGATTGGAAAATTCGAGGAACTTGAAAAGGTTGTGAAAATCTTCGGAGTACCGCATAATGATGATATTTTAAAAGACATCATAGAACTTGGGCAAATAAATAATTTTTTCGATTGTCCTTATAGAAGTCTTTCTAACGTTAATCAAGATTGCTGGGAATTGATAAGAGTGCTAGCAAATGCTAATGATTTTATAATATTCTTTAAAAAAATTTATAAGCATGATATTAAAAATTTGATTAATGGCATTGATGAGGTTCAAGAAGATATGGTTTCACTACTTATTCAAGTCAGGCAATTTTTATTTCCTCTTATGAATAATGAAATGGGGGGTATTGACAGTTTTTTAGTTGCATTATTAAATGTTGTGAAGAAAGATCCCACTTTAGGGGAGAAGATTGCATTATTTAATTGTAACAATATAGCATTACGAAACATGTACAATAATATTCAATATCGTGAAGATATTTCGGAAAAAATTGAAAATGCTGTATTTAATGGTACTTACATTTTTACACGTGAAGAAAAAGATAATGAGTGCTTTGTTTCATTAAAATATTTTTCTAAAACTAACGTGGTAATGTATAATATGAATGACATCTTGGATTTACGTGAACAAGCTCTTTTGGTTACAAATGAAGAATTTGTTGTTCAAGTTAATATTGCGCAAGACATAATCAATATAATGTCTTCGTTGATTCAAATTGGTCATTTTGATTATAGAAAGTTTGAAAAGGAATTGCAAGGAGCAGATAATATGAAAGATTATCAGAAATTATTGAAAGATGAATTCAAAAAATGGTAAATATGTCGTTTACATTATTACTTATTAATTATCTCTATGAATTAATTTTAGTTATACAAATTAATAGGGAAGATATAGTAGACCGTGCGCAAGAAAAATGTTATTACTTAACATTCTTTACTACTCGCCAAATTTTGGCATTTTATGATTATTTCACGTCGGAAAAATTAGACAAGGAAAATGAAGAAGAGTGCAAAACATTGATTAGATTTGTGAACAGTAAAGCTCAATTACCATCACATGGAGATGTTCGAGGAATTTTAAATGGATTTAAAGATCATTTTGAAATTCTTTATGAGATTGGAAACGAATTAGAAAAAATTTTTAGAGATATTCCCAAACAATCACGTATACTTAAGGGTTTTGGACATGATATCATTACAATAGGCAAATTATTTGTTGTTACTTATACTGATAAGATACAAGTTCCAAATACTATTATGTCATTATATGCTAGTTATGGATATTATCCTGAACCATGGCAAAGTTTGATATGTACATCATCAACTACAATGGAGGAACTCATGATTTTCGTTAAAAGAAGTTTTTTTGCATCAAATAATGGATACAAAAATCGCATGTTCTGTATCATAAATTTAGAACTATTAGATTTTGAATTGCAATATAATTTTATAAACTACATCAAAATAATGCAATTGGAATATAAGAATGAAGATTATCTATTAGCCCTTCTATGTTATCAAAAATCTGAATTGTCTAATTACATCTTGGATCAATTTTCTTTAAAAGTTCAAGAGATTAACGAATTAGATGCTGAAACATTGAAGGAAGTTTATCAGGAATTATTTATAAATATAACATGTATTTCTTCTGATTTATCCGGTCAAGGGAAAACTGAGTGGATAAAAGAGGCTAGCTATTCTAAACAAAAAATTCCACTCAGTTTCCTAATAAGCGATAATATGGATCTTGAATATCTTGTAAATAAGCTTAAAGCTTGTAAACTTAAGCAGATACAAAGCTTACATATCAATATTTTATCGGCTGAATATCCTGAAGAAGTGAATTTATTTTTATTTGAACTATTTTTTAATTTAGTTTCGTATAATAATATAAGAGTTTCAATTCCCGATACTTTTATATTTATTGAGATATCATCTTCAGTAAATCGAAATTTTCTTCCAATGTTAAGATTTCCGCATCATAAACATTTATCTTGGAATATTAAAGATTTTAGAGTATCTCAAGAAGCAACAAGTTCAATTCAGATTGTTTGTCGTTATTTGAAATTATATGATCTTGGAAAAATTGATACAAAAGAAATTTTCGTTCAAGCGCAAGAATCTGCCAAAGATCCTTTATCACAAGATATATGTCAACATCTAATTATGAAATATTTTTTGAATGAAAATGATGAAAATGATAAAAATATTTCATCATTTAAATATATTGAAATCTTTGTTAATATTTTATCGAATCAATTAATTAGACTCTCGTTAAGTCAATGTTTCACAGTAAACGATTTAAAATTAAATTTTAAAGAAACTAATATCATATCGACGATTATCAAGTCATTATTAAGTACTTCAAAAAATTTCATAAATCAATCTATTAATGTAAAAACGACTCAACTTAAGTCCTTAACTCCTAAATATGAAAATGAGATTATTAAATTCGACAATTCATACGATTACATACTATTTTTTGATTCACAAACTTCAAATTCTTTCTCTGTATTATATCACGACAAGGATAAGGTTCCTGATAATATTAAATTGTTACTAAAGAGTCAAGTACCTGTTAGTCCGGAAAATTGGGAATTGGGTGATTATAATGCAATGACTGCAAATGAACTTTTATTGAAACTGGAAGCAATAGCACATGGTTCGAACAAAGAATTGTGTCTTCCAGAATATGCTTTATCCGCTGATAATCTGACGAAGATGGCCTTAATTTTTCTGAGAGTACGTGCAAGCATTCCAGTTGTGATCTGTGGTGAAGCAGGATGTGGCAAAGTAAGTATATTAAATAATTACAATTTTGTTATTAATATATAGACTATTTGACAGACTTTATTGCATTATTTAGACAAGTTTGATTACATATTTGGCTATGATAGTTGAAGTACAATTCTATACTCTTACCATTCACGCTGAAATTGATGAAAAATCTATTATGATATTTATGAATGATGCTTTGAAAAAAGCGGAAGGAGCTGAAATTTGGATATTGTTTGATGAAATAAATACGTGTAATCATTTAGGTTTACTTGCAGATATAATATCAAATAGAAAATTTAGGGATAAACCTATTCATCCAAATGTTCGGTTATTTGCTACTTGTAATCCATATTGTCATCATACAAAAGATCGATTGACGAATAAGAGTAAAATATACGATGAAAACCAAATTAATCTTATTTATCAAGTCAAACCTCTTCCTGATCAAATTTTAGATTATGTTTGGGACTTTGGTATTATAAAACCAAATTATGAGTACAGATATATTCAAATTATGGTTGAAAAAGAATTAAAAAATTATTTAGAACATTCCGTATTTTCTGAACTCTTATTTGCTTCTCAAAAATTTATACGAAAATTAGAGGAACAATATAGTGTTAGCTTACGTGATGTTAAACGAGCTATAAAATTGGTGAAATTCTTTTATAATTCTCTTGAGAATCGTCCGGTTTACAGAAAAGGACATATTTATCCGCCATCTAGTAATCCAACAATAAGGACTAGATCCTATGTTCTAGCACTTAGTCTTTGTTATCATTCTCGGTTACATAAACAAGATTTACGTAAGCAATATCGTCATGAAATGGAACAAATATTACAAAATCATAAAATTAATACTGGGGAAAACATGTTTGCTAAAATTATTCGCGAAGAACAGGAAGATTATATTAGTAGAATGCGATGCCCACCTAATGTAGTAAAGAATGAAGCTTTATTAGAAAATGTTTTAACTACGATTGTTTGTATTTTGACAAGAATTCCTGTATTTATTATTGGAGAGGCTGGGTTTGTAATAAATTTTTATTAAATTATTTGATCGTTAATTTTGCAAGCATTACTAAATATTTTTATCCTTATTTATCATATGTATTTATTACAGAACATCTAAATCTTTAGCTATTCGTCTTATAATTTCAAATTTGCGTGGATCTGATTCTAAAGATGAGTATTTTAAATCTTTACCACAGGTATATTAAAATTATAAAATTATACATTTAATAAATTTGTAAATCATCTTTAAAATTAATGTCTCTTTATAAAATAGATTTATCTAATTCCGCTTCAAGGATCCCCATTTTTGACTTCAGATAGTATAGTAAAGGCGCTTGATAAAGCTAATAGATATCAGGAAATCTCTACAAAGCAATTTCCTGTTATTAGCGCAGTTCTACTTGAAAATGGTAAGTATCATATCCAATAGTCATTTATTTTTATTTATTTAGACGAAAATTATTCAATCAATGATTTATTATATAGTCGAATTGGCTGAAGCGAATTCTATCAATCCTTTAAAAGTACTTCACTCTTTGCTTGAACCAAATTTTCCGGCCATTGGGCCAACTGTTTCCATTATAGGAATATCTAATCGTTGCCTTGATGTTAGTAAAAGTAGTCGTGCGTTACTTGTTCAAAGGTATTTTTTTTATTAAAAAATAAAATAAGTTGTTGGGATACAATTTATTTATAATTTCTATATTATCTTTATAGGCCAATATTTGATTTGGATGATTTGGTTAATAGTGTATTAAATACTAAAATTATTTGGCCTGGAGAAAGAAGTGCTATAGAATGTTTAGCTAAAGCATATTTAGATTATGTAAAATGTGGCCAAGCATCGCTTAATTTCCACGGTCTTCGTGATTATTATGCATTGATCAATCAGATTTCATTAAATGAAGTGACTCCGGAGAATATTCAAATAGCATTAGTTCGTAATTTCGGAGGAACAAAAAATATCAAATTATGCGAGAAATATTTTGGAGATTTTATTAAAATATTTAATAATAATCATTCATGGTTTTATAAGCAAATTCCAACCGAACAATTAGTTAATTCAAATTTAAATTATCACGATGGGCGTCATTTAATGATTATCGATGAAAGTGACTCAATTGTAAATTTATTAACTTATCAATTAAGAAATTTGGATCCAGTTTTAATTTTTGGATCACAATTTCCTGACGATCAGAGTGATTATTCTTATAGTGTTATGAGAAAAATCATGGTAAGTAATTTATTTGGTTTCAAAATAGAATAGATTTTATTTTGGTTTATATATTACATATATTAATATTATTTTGCTACTTTAGATGTATGTCGAAGAAGGAAAACTATTAATTTTAACGGATCTGGAAGTAATTTACGGTAACTTTATGTAATAATTATTAATGTAAAATTATGAGATCTTAAAAGAAATTTTTATTTGTATTTTTAGGAAATCTTTACAATTTATGGGATCAAAATTGTAATGCAACTGGAAACTTCGGATTTGTTACAAGGGTCACATTAGGGACATATACTACCCCTATGCTGTAAGTACTAAGTAGTTAATAAATTTGATAGATATTTTTTTGAATTAGAATTAAAATTATTTCATATTTTATTAGTCACGTTTCGCCAAGTTTCAAATGTATTATTGTCATGAATGAGAATAATTTGGCTTCAGCTGATCCTTCACTTCTTAATCGGTTTGAAAAACAAAGGATGTCGGTAAATGATATACTTAACGATAGACAAAAATTACTTGTAGATTATTTGAACAACTGGGTAAAACAAATGTTAACAACTTCGATTAGAATTAATTCAGCAACTCGGTTATGTAATATTTTTGACCAAAAGGATTTATTCGTTGGATTTAGTGAGAATGAAACACTACAAAGTTTGGTTGTAAATGTTATAATGAATAATCCTGAAGCAAACGATGATACGATTTTAGAAAAGTGCAAGGAATGCTTAATTACAATAGCCTCTCCAGATGGAATTGTAAGGTCGGAACTATCATCCTTAAAGCGAGATGAGATTAATCGGTGGAAGCATATTTATTTTTATCGACAACATCATGATAGTCTTTACGATTATTTTTATGCCTCGCTTAGTCAAGAAAAGTCATTGACGGATCCAAAAAGACAATTGATAATTATTAACACATTCTCTAAAATCAATACAGATATTAATTCTTGCCTAAAAGATTTTTTAAGATATCAATTGTATAATTTGTCCATCTTTAGAACTGAAGCTCAGTTTTCAGATTTGGTAAAAAAATTCTTTTTCGAGTCAGCAGATCAAATTTTATTTCTCCAATGTGATGTTAAAACTATTAATACAAAATGTATCAAATTAGTAAAATGCATTATTGAACAGTTTCAAGATGAATTTTTTACTAAACGTGACACAAACATGCCTATGAAGCATGTATGTGTAATATTACACATTCAACGAGGATATGAATCAGTAACATCAAAATTTACTTGTGACTGGAAGCAAGTTACTATTGAATCTTTAGAACCACCCGAGGTACCATCAATAGATCTACTGGATAAGTCATTATATGATATAATTAACTCAATACTATTTGAAAAAATAATGAATTCGACAATGCCATTCGAAAAACTTTTGCATGATGAATTATTATGGTGCTTATCATGCATAGAATATCAACAATCTGAATATTATGAAGATTATGTTAGGTATGATTTTTACTAAATAGAATTATTTTTCGATTTGAAATTTGATTAATTTCTTTCCTTTTTGTAGTACGTTGAACAAACAAATTCTAAATGATCCATACTTTGTAGAATGCATAAAAACTAAAGCCTTTGAATGGATATCAGAGAATTGTAAAAATTGGCAAGATGAAGTAGCTTCAAACAAAGAGTATTTATCAAAATTCGATTACTTTTCAATGGCTTTACAAAATTCTGTAAGAATAATTATTAAGCAAACAATTGCAAAGATTTTATATTCACTTGAAAAATTATCAGCAACGTCTACATTTTTCAATAATGAAAATAGGAAAGAATTTGATGAGGACGAATTATCTGGTTTATGGAAACGATTCTTTATGGATAATACAATTATTAATATTGATAATTTATGTGAACCAAAACAATCTATATATAAAATACCGTATTTAATTAATGATCTTGAATTTCCTTTTTCATGTTATTTTATGAATCTAATTAATTATTATGAAAAGTATTATTATGAAGAATTAGATATATTAAAACAAGTTTCGGAAAACATTAATAATGAATTGTATGAAGATCATATAGAAGATTTTAAAAATAATTTGATTTCTATACATCCAAATTTTGAATATCTACAAAAATATTCAGAATTTTATTATAATGATTTTATTAGAATTATTTTATCAATTTATTCTATGAAATTGACTAGTAAAGAAAATTTAGATTTTATTTTAAGAAATTTAATTGGAGTAACTGAAGATAAAATTATTGATCCATTTATTCTTCATATTTATTGGTGGAAGTATTCAAATGAAATTTTGATTCAATTAAAATTGGTTGAAACTTTTCCAAATATTATTATAAAAGCTCAAAATGACTTCATTGTTCACGGACAACTTGGTCAATATCTCTTTAGGGAATCAATTAATACGATTTTACAAAATATATGTGATGATAAACCATGGAAACAAGATATGGATTATATTTTATCCATTTTACCTGTAATTAAAGAGATTGATAATGATTCGAAAAAATTTTCAAATTTAAATTTATTGCTTATATGTGGTGATTTGTTTAAAATAAATTCAATTTCATCAGAAAAAATCAAAGAAATCATTTATTTAGGAAAATCTGGCAAAAAACATGAATTTATTACGACTGAAATTATCAATTTAGTTTTCAGTAATCTAAATAATAATAATATAAATCCAACTATATCATTTATTACAAGAAGCCTTAAATTTATCCCTTTAGAATCTGATGCTCGTTTAATTCTTTACCAAAATATATTTTCACGAGGTTCGTTCAAATTAATGAGTAGTATAATTATGAAAATATTTACTACTGAAATTCAGCAAAATAAACAAATATTTTTCGCATTAATTAAGAATTCTGAGGAAGCTTTGCAACTTTCAATTAGATTAAAAACTATTGATGATAATACCAAAAATATTGACTCTCATATAATGGAACTTTATAGTGAAATAATACAAACTATTTTTAATGAATTTGAATTAGATGAATTATTACTTTATTTCAAAGATTCAATTGAAGTAATTATAACACAAAAAGATTTATCTTTACAGCAAATAACTTCAATTGCATTTATGAAAGAATTTATTAACAAATTTTGGAATAACTATTTTCAAAAAAATAATTCTATATCCAAATCATTGATTCAAAAAATTAACGAAGCTTTAAAAAATATCCATCCATCTATTAAACTTATACAATCTTATTTTGTATTAAATTTATATCAACAAAGTTCGTTTGATATGGACCAGCTCGAAATATTAAAGAAAGAATTTATATGGCTTGAAAATTTTACTAATGTAGAAACAAAAAATCTTCCTAAACTTTGGAAATCAATTAGAAAAGCAAATTTTAATGACTTTTATAACTTTTGTAATAATTTAGTATTAGACAAATATCCTTTACTTTCAGTATTTTTGAAACATTATGAAAAATTAAAGTTTATTAAGTTTCTACATCCAATTATTAAATTTGTGAAAATTTTGAACTTCAAACTTGAACATCATTTAACTAGAAAAGAGGCACAAAATATGACATTTCATGAATTTATTAAAAAAGAATCTGCAGATGATGATGAATATGCTAGTAATCTAAAATTCTTATTTGAAAAATTTGCTTTTAGCTGGAATTCTATTATTAATTATATTTTTGAATATCAATGTAAAGAATTACCTTATAATAAACCAATTATGAATCTTGAACTTCCAGTAATTTTCGGACTAATTGATCAAAAAGATACTGGAATTTATTTATGTGCTATTATAGATTTTTTAATTAAATTACATAATGAATTTTTGGATAATATTAAGGTTATTTTTGCTAATAAATGTGAAAATCTTAAATTCTTTGAAGTTTTATCTTGGAATAATTTAATTTCTGAAACATATTGCATTAAATCAAAGAAGGTAATACTGGCACAAGACAATAATTTTATTAATTATGAATGGGATGATAAAATTTTTAGATATAATCAAAGAGATATGAAAGTAAAAGATGATATAAATTATATTTTTGATTTACAGAAGATTGAAATGAATTTAGCTAAAAAATTGGTTTTTAACAAAGTTTATTTTGAAATGGAAGATAACCAATTTTATATAAAAGATTTTTTATTCAAATATGAGTTATTTCATAATTTTCCAAGAATTCTTTCTGATATTAAAAAGATATTACCACAAGAACCTATTCCAGCAGACAAAATGTTAATGACTTTAGCAATGTTTCAGCCATCAAATTCTTTATTAATTTTAAATAATTCATTAAATTCAATTGACTTATTTGAACTGATATTTCATTTTGAAATAATTCTTTGTTTTATTAAAGAATTATCAATTAAAAATAATAATATACTTATTTTAAATTTTATTAATCAGTGGTTAAAATTAGAAAGCTATAATATTACATTTATAGAAGGATTTTCTTTAAAACATATTATAGTTTTTTATGAATTAATTGAAGAACAGATTGCTAATTCAATAATTCATAATATTGATGAAAAATTTAAAATTCCATTAACACAACAAATGAAGGATTCAATTAATAATATCATGAATTATTATGATACAGAAAATCAAAATCAACAACTTATTTCTGCTAAAGCATTTGCATTTGCTTTAAAAAGATTTATTTATAGGTTTTTGTTAATTGATTCTAATATTGAAAATTTGAATTTAAATATATACCTTTTAGATTTTACATTAAATTTATGGAATGATGTTGAAGAAAAATTAATTGAAAAATTGTTTCCTACTTATTTACTAGTATCACATGCTTATAATTGTTATAATTTTATTGTTGCTGAAATTGAGGTATTATATTTTATATTTTTATTTATTTTGTTTAAATGAAATTATTAATTCTTATTATTAATATATATATTAATTTATAATAATAGAAAACAGTAAATGAAAGGCAAAATAATACATCTGCATCAACTTTTAGAAAAACTTCAACAAGAACTAAAAAGTTTAAAAAATTTACAGGTTAAAATAAATTGGCTTAGTATTTTAAATATAGTAGTTATATATATTATTTGCATATTTTTTTTTTAAACATAAATTACTTTATAGTTATTTTAGAATAAAAAATTTTATTGGTATGATTTTACTTAGTACTATTTACATTATATATAAAAAGTTAAAGATTTGTAATTTTAGTTCTAAAACTAATTAGTAAATTTTTTTGGCTGTACTTTACTTCTTATATATATAGCTTGAAATTCTTTTATATTATTTATATTTTTTTGTTTCATCTTAAATTCATTTTACCATTAAGTAAATTGTTTATTTGTTCTCAATATTTATTATTATAAATATTTATATTTAATAATAAAAATGAAATTTAAGCGAAACCCATTAATTGAATGGAGTTTCTGCCCATTTATTTGCAAAAGTTACAGTAACCAATAACCAGGAATGGTACAGTCACCTCAGAAAGTATTGCACTATTACTTACAGATGGAGGTCATAATTATTTGGCCACTATGATTATCCTAGTATCCAGTGATCCGAATTTGATAAATAAAAGCTCATTGGATTTGTCACATCAAGATGAGTCAAATGTTAGTTGTGTCATATTTTTAGGATCAATAAATGCCAAGATATACCTTAAAACATTCTAATTTTTCAGAATTCTGAATTTCACAAAATCAGGAATATCTCACTATTCAATGGTCCGATTTTGATGATCAAAGGCTCATTGGATTTGTCTTATTGAAAGGCGTTGAATGATAGCTGGATCATGTGTATAACATTAGTATATCACGGGTTAATATCCAAAACGTCCAAAATATGTTTTAATGCACACTTTAGCATATATTGATTCTAGAGGTATGTGCCAATCACCATTCAACTCATCTTGATAAGATGAATCCAATGAGCCTTTGATCATCAAATTTGGATCACTGGGTGTCAAGATAATTACAAGTGGCAAAATTATTATAACCTTCATCTTAAGCCAAAAATCAGCTAAAATTAAATAAAATTGCAACTACTGATTTACCAATAAATTTATTTGGTTTAAACCAAGTAAAGAACAATTAGAAAAGATCCAATATATTGCCCAGAAGTGTGACCACCTTCCAAGAGCTGTAGGTGAACTTAAAGCTGTACTGAAGGAAAAATAAAAATTTAAATAGTTCTGTTTTTGAAAAGGCTGCCACCCTGGCATTGTGAAAATTTGATGTAGTATAGGAAGCAAACTAGATATAAACTTTTTATTAATACATATACTAGTGGAAAAATATGAATATTTTTATTTTTGTCTTAATTTTCAAATTGAGCGATACTTTCCGAGGTGACTGTACCTATAATAGTGATTATAATACTATAAATTTCATTTGAATTATAAGAAGTGCCAATATTAAGTTTATTTTTGAACTGGAAAATTTATTAAATAAATTAAAGAATTTTTCTAACTATCACGGGGTGATGATCACTGGTGACTGAAATTATGATGATCGACCAGCATTAAAAAAATATAGTACCGGTAAAAATTGATAATTTTGGCCAACGGTGATGAACACCCCCGGTGATTTGAAGTAAAAATCTAAATTGAATTAAATTAATAATTATATTAATAATGTTTCATTTTTTAAAAGCACTACTTTGTTAATATTACAGTATATTTGCAGAATTGCAGATGTAATTAATTTGTAATATATCTTTTCAAAAATGTAGAACAACTTTAAGAATAGATTGAGAAATGTAAAATTTATTAAATAAATACGATTTGAAATAAACTATTAAAGAATAAATATAAAAGAATAAGAAAAAAAACAATTAAATTTGTATCAGTTTATAAGTTGCAATAAGTATAAGTTATTCAAAAATATAAGTTTTATTTTATATAACTATCATGCTTTGCTATACAAACTAAATATCAGCATTTTTGATATAAAATTACATACATTAATTTTTTTTGAAAAAAAAAAAATATTTCATGGAGCTCTCCAGGCTCTGGGAGCGTTTCTAACATGTGATTAACAATCATTAATGATTTAAAAAATTAAAAAATTAAAAAATTTCCTGGCTATTTAATCAGCTGCAATTTTGCAAATTAGTATTCTGAACAATCCACGTCTACATTCCAGCTGAAAGAAACGACGAGAGATTACAAATATTATTAATGTCCAAAATAATTATTCTGGCTATTTTGTAGTTATTTTTGAAAATAAATACCTTTGCATGATAATTATATTTTTCTAGAGACATTTTTTTATAATTATATGGATTTGTCTTATTATTATACAAGCTATAGTTTCGTAGTTATCTGTTATCGAAAATATCATGAGTCGCTTAATATTAAAAGAGATAATAACTTCTGTAATATCTTTAAAAGAAGTATCATCTTCATCTTCCTCAGCTTACTTTTTTTATGCGAGTTTAATTTTTGAGCTTATAAAAGACTGTAATACTGTAAATACCTTTTTTGCGATTAATTTATATAACATTTTAATTTATTTAGAGTTCTGAATAGGTCAAGTAATATTGGATGACCCGTTTGAGTTGACTTTGTTATAATTATTTTTTTTATTTCTTTTACAGTTTTTATCTGTTAAACATATATTTTTTATTTAATTTTTTTATTTTATTTATTTATTTTCTTTTATTCGCAATTCTGCAAATGAAGTGTCGATGAAAAATTGAATTTATATATCAAGTAATATATTACATTTAATTAATAATTGAAGAATCTTCATTATACTAAAATAAGTACATTAGAGAGCAGGTAAAACATTTCGTTCATGAGCAACATACATCCATGAAATGTTGACAGTTTAACTTTTGGTCCAGTTCTATTTGCGCGTGTAGCTCCTGTAGGACTATAATAACGATAGACAGTTAGTTGTCTTTATACACTCCTATGTACGAGTTCTACTAGCTATAAAATAAAAATAAAAATAAAAAGAAGGTAGGATCAAAACATTCGTTTTTGGAGCGAATTTCAGCTTGATCAATTCTTACAATATTCAGAGGAGCACAGCTGATTCATAAATTCTTTCACTTTTAATATGACCAGGTATTTATTTCTCGCTAATTTGGAACAGTGATCCATAATAAGCATTCCTACGTTTCTTTACAAGAAGGAAATTGACTGTTGCATATACTGTATATACTATATAACATGGATCAGTTTCTTGTTTTTAACATGATTTAGGTCTTCTGTTTTAAATTGATTAATAATGTGCAATACAAGTTTAGCAAGGGAACTCCATCTGAGGCTATAAAGTAGTAAATAGTACCTTTTTTGTTGGCGTAGTGAGACATAACGTTTAGTATGAATGATGACATATCGATTTTCATTTAATCATAATTTAATAAAATGTTAATTTATGAAAATTGAGAACTTTCTAGAAAGAAAATTTATGTGGAAAGAATATTCTTCAATGACTTCTGGTAGTACTTCGATTTGTATCTGGTTCAATCCAGATTTTTTTTCAGATATCCAGCTTTCATCCAATCCAGTTTGTAAATTGGATGAAAAATACCTAATTTGTACCGAAATCCGGTGAATTTGTGTTTTTGTTTTCTCATGTAAACACCATTTCTAAAACTTAAATTTGATAAATGAATAAAACATAAATAAAACTTTAAAGAAATGTTAAAATAATATGTTGAGACAATGTTAGGACTGTTTCAACTTAGTTGTTTGTTTGATGACCAGATTTTTTTAAAAAGTCTAGAAGGAAGTTCAATTTGAATAAAAATACAATTGGGATATTATCACTTAATAGTGTCAATAAGGCAACTCACTCTAAAAGACGATAAAATCAACATCGGTGTTAAACAAACAGTACAGTTAGGTAACAGCTTTTAAAATAATACGTCAATATTTGGCATGCTGTACGAATAATGTATGGGCAGTGTGGCGCAGCAATTTTGATTTTTAACTGCGAATCGAAATTTTTTTTTAATTTGATATGTTTTGTTTATAATTGTACAATAGTTTCGATAATTCAGGAAAATTGGAATTAAAATTTTATTAACTCGATATACACATAATTTATAATAAAGCGTCACTGATCTAAATTTTATCTGGAAATGTGCTTCTATTGCTTCGTGTGGTTATGTTTTAGATATTTGCATTTTCCTGTTCGTGAGGATAAAAAGAAATTGGTGATTTATGTTAGTACAAACAGTTACTAAGTTGTATAAAAAAAATACCTATTATGTAAGATTATATAGATATTCAGTACTGTTGATCATTTTCCAAAATTCCGTACCGTACCGACCGTACCGTACTATATTAATATTAGAGCTAGTACAATATGGTACAGTTAATTTTTTTTTTATATATCCAAATAACTACGGACATTAATGTCCAAATAACCACCATAGTTAAATGGACATTGAGTGTTCAAATAACCACCATAATTAAATGGACATTGGTGCCCAAATAACCACATATAATATGGACATTGATGGTACATTAAGATAATCGACAGCTTTTTCTGTTGTTGCTGAGGACATTATTTGAGACAATGATTTTTTTTTTTCTTAGAAAAAATTAATTTATTATACTGATTTGTAGCCACAGCCGTATGATAACAAATACCCTTATTTGGCAAAGTAATATGTCATGCATTTTTCATTGTTTTAATTGATTTATATTTATTTAGCATGATGATTATTTGGACACTAATGTCCATTTAACTATGGTGGTTATTTGGATTATTGGATATTAATGTCCGTATTTATTTGGACATATAAAACCGTACTGTACTGGCTCTATATATAATATATATGGTACAGTACGGAATTTTTGAAATTTTTTTTGGAGTATATTGTAAATTAGTACTGTACGGTAATACAAATTAGTACGGACGTTCAAAAAAAAAAATTAATTTTTAGACGGACCTTAAAAATAAATTTTGATTTTTTCGTACTAATATTTTACATTGTAACATCATGTGATCAAATTTTTGAGATGAATATGTTGCACACAATATTTGAGTAATATAATAATTAACTACTCTTCTAGTAATAAAGTAATATAATAATTGTGTAATGATCAATCTGATTAATTTATGAATTTGTAATATAATGATTTTAACGTTCTGTCATCGTAAATATCTCTTTTAATTTTTTACTTCTTTGCCACATAATACCAAAAATTATATTTTGTAAATGCTAAATATGGTTGTCTAATTTATATATAAAATAAAATATG